ATTAAGGTTACTTCAACACCCCAATTTTTTAAAAAATCACTCGAAAGTTGTAAAAAAAGAACCGTTATGAACTTCTAACACACAACAGACATTCATAACTCAAAGAAACTAATAAATCATTGATGATTTATGTAAAAAAAAAGCGGATTGAACTCCATAAATGCAAAAATATGATTTCGCCCAGGATCGAACTGGGGACGTTCTGCGTGTTAAGCAGATGCCATAACCTACTAGACCACGAAACCAACTGTTGAAGTTTTGAAATGCGAACACTCTCCTCGATATGCTTCTGCTTACGTTATATCTTAGGTAATCTGGCATAAATTTTAACTTTAAATTGTAATATTATCAACATATATGATGAGATTCCATTGGTTCTTAGATAGTAATAATTCAGTCCCTCCTAAATCTATCGTTATGATAAGGAATAGCTGAAATTAACGAATTAATTTTTTTCATCATTTTGAAGTGGTTTAATTTTGAAGTGAAAATAAAATTTATTTGATACACTTTTTGAAATTTTAAAAAAAATTATAATTTCAAAACTTTGAAATTGGGCCTTAGAAGTATATTAGTATATTAAACGAATAATTTTACTTGATATTATAGTTTTTTAAACAATTTTTGATAACTTTAAAATAGATTTATTTAACTTTAAAGTTTGAAGAAATTTCGGGAAACAAATTTTATTTCCATCGGGATTTAAATACACATAAAATTATATAACTCCGAGATCTATAACTCATATCTCAACGTCAGCCTAATTAAGATAAATTAGAGATCCAGCTCAATAGGAATCAAAATTTTGTCATAAATAATACCGCTCAATGAATTAATTGATAATGAAGGTATAGTGTGTCGATAAACGAATGTATTTAAAATTATCTACAAAAACTTAATATATTCTTTTGAAGTTGATAAACTCGTGCAATATGAAATGACATTGAAAATGAATAATAAACATGGATTTTTAATCATTAATATGAAATCATTACTTTTTATATATGAACTTTTTTTTTTAAATTTTCAACGATTCTTATTATAACCTCTATTTGAATGACCTTGTGATTGTGGAATAGGATGAGGAGGACCATTTGCAACACCTTGAGGACCAGAAGGTGGTAATGAAGAATTCATTTGATTAAATGGTATACCAGGATTTGGGAATCCATTTGAAGGTTGTGGAGGATAATAACCACCATGATTAGAATTTGGATGAGGAGCTCCAACATGTGGTGGTGCAATATGAGGAGGTGGAGGACCATTAAATCTATTTGGTTGATATTGATAACCTGATTGTGCAGCTTGTATAGCAGCAGCTTGAGCCTGGGCTTGAGCAATTGCAGGATTATTATTATGTTGTTGAGGATTTGTGAAAATAGGTCTTTGATGTTGTTGATAAGGTGAATATGATGATGGTGGTGATTGAGCTATATTTGGATTTTGTTGTTGTGGAGATAATTGTAAATATTGATTTGGAATAAAAGGTTGAGGTGGATAAAACATTTGTGGAGTTTGTGGTTGAATAATTGGAATTGATTGGAATGATTGAATTGGAGTTGATAATGGAGTTGATTGTGGGAAAAATCTTTGATTTTTGGAATTTGATTTTAATTCTAAATCATTAAATAAAGATTTGAAAGGTTTATCAATACCTTCATCTTTAACCCAAGTTGGTGGAGTTTGATAAGGTTTTTCTAAATAAAATGTAGTTAAAGGTTTTTCATCTAATTCTTTTCCCTGGGATAATAATTTTTCTTGTTCTAATTTTTTTTTATTAAATTCATCAATACAACCTTTAAAAAAATTAAATTTTGAATCAAAATTATCTTTATCTGGATTATTTTGTCTTTTTTCAATTGATGATAATTTTTCATTTGAAAAAAAATTATTAAAATTTCTTCTTTTTGGTTGATATTGATGGTTATTAATTAATTTTGGTGAATTTTTATTGAAAATTGGAGTGGAAATATTTGAATGAATTGTTGATGGTGATGCTGTAGCACTTGGAGTAAATGAAGCAGCTTTTGGATTTAATTTAAAAGTTGAAACTTTTGCAGGATCACCAAGTTTTTTATTATTAATACGTGGTGTTGAATTAGTTTCAACAGGTTTTTCAATAGGTTTTTCAACAGGTTTTTCAGCCTTTTTCTCGACTTGCTTTTCAACAGGTTTCTCAACAGGTTTTTCAACCTTTTCAACCTTTTCAACCTTTTCAACTTTTTCAACTTTTTCAACAGGTTTCTCAATTTTTTCCTTTTCCTTTTCCTTTTCAACAGTTGTTCCAACTTTTTTATTAAATTTTGTTGGAATTTTAAAAGTTTGAGAAAATTCTTTCAATGAATTAATTTCATTTAATGTATTAATTTTTTTTAAATTTTCAATATTTGATTTTTTTAAATTTAAATTTGAATTCAAATTTTGTTGTTTTGAAATAATTGGTTTTGAAGGAATTGAAGATAAATTTAATTGATTTTTATTTAAATCTTTTGATTTGTTATTAAATTCTTTATTCTCTTTTTCATTTTGATTCTTTGTAGATGAAATAATTGAAGGATCAATATTTTGTAAATTCCCACGTTGACTTGGTGGTAAATATCTTGAACCTGTTTTACCTTGATTACCAAATTGGAAATCTTTTGAATCTTTATTAATTAAAGATTGGAAAAGGGCATCACCTTTAGCATCAATTTTATCAATAGATCTATCAACACCACTATATTTATCTTCTTCATCAATTCCACTATCATCAAATTTTAAACCACGTTCTTCAGCTAAATGATAATTACCATTAAATCCTTGGTTTTCAATTTCACGAGCTAATTTATCAGCTTTTGCTAATTTTTCATGATATTTTGGATCATTTTTATTGATTTTTGTTGTATATAAATGTTCATCAAATTCAGATTTAATACCAAATTTTTCTTCATTTATTTGAAATTGATCCCATTGTGATCCATCATCATCTTCTAATGATAATGATTGTAAGTTTTGAGATTGTTCATCAGGGATCCATTTTTCAATTTCAGATCTCTTGTTTGAATTGTTTTGATTCCCAATATCTTGATCAGTTTTAAAATTTGATTTTGTAGAAGATTGGTAATTAGTATTAAATAAATCAACATCTTCAATTTCAAATTCTAATAAATCTTCATAATTAAAACTTAATAATCCATCATCATCATTTGATTTAATAATTAATTTTAAAGTTAATGGATCAATGGTTTTTAAAATACCTTTTTGTAAAGAACCTGAATTTGTTAAAATTAAAACATTTGAACCAATTGAATTGAAAATTAAAAATAATAAACGATCTTTAAAATGACATTGTAAAGAATCATCATTTAATTGATTAATTGATGAAGAAACCGAATCATTTGAACCATTTAAATTCCCATTTTTATTATTATCATTTGATTTTTGATCATTTGAATGACGACGATTATTATTTTTAGAATTTGAACGATTATGTTTTTTTTCAATTGAATGATCACGTTGATTATGTTGTTTCATCTTTGAAGCCTAGAAACCTTTTTGATCAGGGTTTTTGTATGTTTTAATGAAATCAAATATGACACCAAATTGAGGGAATCAACAATACAGCACAGCACCGAAACCAGACACCGACACCAAACAGACACACCAAGAAAAACTCAAACAAGTGATTCCAAAAAGATTATATATCTTAAATCCAAACCTGGTAAACCCAACCTATTTGAATTCCAATATAATCCCCAAATGAATATCAATTTCAATTGCAATTGAATGATTGTCTTTTGTTTATTTTTGATTAAAACTCCACTTGAATATGAGAATTATTTAAATTTCCATTTTTTGTTTTTCAACAAAAACCAAAAAAACCACAAAATTCGCGAATATTTTAAAGAACTACGCGTAATTTCTTACATAAGCAGTCATTAAAATTCATATATAAACTATTTAATTTATGATATTTTATGATAATAAATCATTTAAATTATGGGATAGTTCATTATATTTTGATAAGGATTGATCTATTTTATTTAATGAGTTTTTTAATTCAGATATTGTATTGTTTATTTCTGGATCATTTGAATTTGAAAGATTTATTGATTTATTTTGTTCATTATGTTTATCATTATGTTCATCATCATTTAATTTCTCTAATTCTTTATTTAATAGAGTTTCATAATTATGTAAATATCTTTTTATATCTTTATTTTTCTGTTTCTCTAATTTTAAATTTTTTTGTAATAAATTCAATTGATTAATTTCATTTGATATTAAATTAACCAAATATTTCTCTTTTTTCAATTGATAATCTAAATCATAATCTAATTCAGATTGTAAAGTTTTAGGTAATTTAGATTTAACCAGTTGAGATATAAAAACTTTAATAAAATCATCTAATTCAAAATCTTTCTCCATTAAAGTATTATTATTTTTTGATATTAATTGAAGTGATTTAATTTTATTTAATTCTAAGATTTTCCTTATATTGGATATAACTTGTTTTGAAGGATGTTGCCATGATTTAACAGTTCTATTAGTATATTTCTTTGATATTTTAATTATTTTATTTTGATCCATGATGTTACTTTATATAAATTTAGCGTATAAGATGATTTCTTCACTATATAAATTTAAAATCAAAACAAATAAAATATTGGTGTCTGGATGACATAACAAATGACGTAATCGGAAAAATATATTCTTATTAATCAATTACGTAATAAAAAAATTTGAACCACAGTTTTTAATTTTTTTTTCTTTTTTAATTTTTATGAAACCAAAATTTCGTTTTTTTTTGAGCAATGAACAATTTTAAAGGAGATAATAAGGAAATAAGAAACTATTAAGGTATAAGATTTGATTAGTTTCATATTGTTTCATGTTAATAAGGTTATTATAAGTATCATATGTTATTTGGTTTATATTGTGTGTTACCAAAGGGCTAGATCATAATCGTAAATGTATGTTGATTCAATACTTAATTATATACATGCTTTAAATTACATATATGGGTGTTTTGGTGGTATGATAAAGTATATAACTATCAACTACTAGTAGTCTATTGGTGAGATTATATTAATGTATAATAATTATAACTAATGAAAAACGTTACACAAAAACTCAAATGACTATAATGAATTGAGTTTAAACTTAAAGTAATGGGTACTATTATACTATAGGTCTATGTACTTATTTAACACATTATACATGCTATTATCCTTGATTGTTGTATGATTTAAGGGTTCTATAATCAAAGTATAAGTACAATAAGTTGTTAGAAGTTGTTTTAACTTATGTATAGAAGTTTATGGTGTCTATAATTGCTGTATATAACTATTTAAGGCTTATATACGTTACCATATTATAGTGCATAGTAGATTTACACCGTTAACAATAAGCACTATTAATAACATATGTAAACAAATAAATAAGTATATGATACATTATACTATATAGCATAATGTACTATAGTCTATAATATAAATATTCAATCTATAATATACTACAATATTACTGATTTTCGATCTAAAACAATAATATCTAAATCTGATTCTAGACCAAATACGTCATAACATAATTCTTGGTAAGAGACACACCACGTTAAATACAAATCTCAGATTTTTTTTTTTTTTTTTTTTAATTTTTAGATTTTTTTTTTATATAACAGTTTTCAAATTTCCGATTTTCAATAAAACAACATTTTATTAAGGATATCAATACTTTAAAACAAGATTTATAAAGGTTTAAATTACAGCGGTTAGTTTTAAAATTAAGTCATTAAAGACATCAATACATTACAAACATAGCGCTGTTTTTAAAATCTTTAATTTCTAAAATTTTTTACCTTTTTTTGTTATTTTGCTAGCTTTATTATAGCTAAAGATTTGTTTTCGCACCAAAAGTTTTTTAAAACACAGCATCGTTTTTAGGTAAACAAATCCAAAGGTTCATTTTCTAAAAATAAAATAATAATAATAATCAATAACATCATAAAGAGTCAAATGGCTCAATAATGACAAGTTTAAGAAGTCCTTTAGAACAAAGTTCAGGTTTTATATTTCCTGAAACTTCATCCCCAAATTCAAGAAATTCAAGAGATTCAATAAATTCAAGTCCAAAATCAAATAATAATAAACATGGTCATTCACATAGTCAAAGTCATATTTATACAATAAATCCAAATGAATCAAATTATTTTATATCAAATTCAAGATTTCCAACTTTATCACAAATTAATACAATTGATGAAAATTTAGTTGGTAATTATAATAACAACAATCAAAATCAATTTGAAAAATCATTTAATAATTTAAATTTAAAAAAAATTAATTCAAGAGATACAATAAATTCAGATTCAACTTTAATTGATTCTTTACATAATAAAAATGATTCAATAAATTCAATAAATTCTACAGATACTTTAAATAGTTTTAGATTGAAAAGATTTAATTCTTCATCATCAGTACCACAATCAAATACATCTGAATTTAATTTTTCATATAGTAATCATTCACCAAGTGGTTCAATTAGTGGAATTTCTTCATCACCAAGTTATTCAATAAATTCAATAAATTCAGTTAATAGTGGTAATAATAATAATCAATTTAAAAAAATTGTTAAATTCCCAAAACCTGAAAATTTAAATATAATGAATAATACTGAACTTTCTTTAATTATTGAAGGTATGACTTCAGAAGAAATTGATTCAATTTTAATATTAGATGTTCGTCCTTTCATTGAATATAATTTAAAACATATTAAAAATTCAATTAATTTTAATTTACCTTCAACTTTATTAAAAAGAACAAATTTTACATTATCAAGATGTTTAAATAATTTATCCATAATGGAAAATGTTAAAATTAATAAATTTTTAAATAATCAATCAACAATGAAAAAAATTATAATTTATGATGATTTAATAATGAATGATAATAATGATGAAGTTTCTTTAGCAACTTATGGTACTTCAATGAAATTTTTTAATGATTTAAATTTTAAAGGTGAAATTTATGTATTAAAAAATGGATTCCAAAAATTTCAATTAGAATTTAATGATTTAACTGAAGCAACAACAAATACAGCTCCAACATCACAATTCAAACCACCACATAATAGATCATTATCATTAGCAAATGTTTCATCATCATCATTATCAAGTCCAATTTCTCCAAATTTATCAAGATTTCAATTACCAAAATTACCAAAAACTCCAGTTTTCAAAATTAGACATAATGAAGAATTTTATGATTTTGATAATTATAAAATTATAAATGAATTTAAATTTTTAAATCAATTTATAAATGAACCGGATACAGATGATGTTTCAATACCAAATTGGTTAAAAATTTTATTAAATAAGAATAATTATATTTCATTATTTGAAAAATTTAAAAATTTAGAAATTGAAGAGAAGAAAAGAATTAATAATTTAATTCAAACAAATTCTGTTACTTCAGGTATTGAATTAGGTTTTAAAAATCGTTATAAAGATATTTTCCCATATGAACATAGTCGAGTTAAATTAACTAAAACTCCAACTTATGAATCTTATAATAATGATTATGAATTTAATAATTATATTAATGCAAATTATATAAATTGTCCTTCAAATTTATCAAATTTAAAATATATTGCAACACAAGCCCCATTATTAGAAACTACCCAAGATTTTACAAAATTAATTAAAGATAATAATGTACCATTAATTATATCATTAACAAATCAATTTGAAAATGGAGTTGAAAAATGTTATTCATATTGGAATGATTTAAAAAATTTTAAAATTTTACAAGAGGAAAAAATTGAAAATACATTTATCATTAGAAGATTATGGTTACAAAAATATAAATTTGAAATTTTACAAATTCAAATCTTGAATTGGTCAGATTTTGATATATTATTAGAAAATCAACAAATTGATATATTAAAATTAATTTATTTAAAAAAATTCATCTTGGAGAAATTAGATAAAACTTTTGAAAATGTTATTGTTCATTGTTCTGCAGGATGTGGTAGAACTGGTACTTTTTGTACATTAGATTCTATAATAAATTCAAATATAAATAATCAACAAGAAAATAATTTTGAATTTGATCCAATTTTTCAAATTGTGGAAATTTTTAGAAATCAAAGAATTTCAATGGTTCAAAATTTAAGACAATATTTATTTATTTATGATTGTTTATTAAATTTTTTTAAAAATTTTAATAATTTTAATGAAGATAATGGGAATAATAATGGAAATAATGATATTTTTATTAAATTACAAGATTTAAAAATTTTAAATAATTTTTTAAATCAAAATACCCAAGAATGAATGAGAATTACTTGCATGTTTATAAACATTTTTTTAATGACAATTAATAATGATTAAAAGAAAGAAAAACAAAACAAAAAAAAGAAAAACAATATATAATAATAGAAAAACATATAAAAAAACAATATAAGGGTTAAAAATTAAAGGAAATATGAATATGAGATGTTCATAAAAAAAGGAAAAAAGGATTAAGGAATTATAAATAATTTTATTTAATGAATTTATGATTAAAGTTTTAGAGTACATGTTAATTGTAGTACTAATATGAAAATTTTGAAAAATCATGCACATGTTATGATATTCTAATATACAAATTGCCAGCAAATTATCCGTCTTTCTTCTGTACACTCTTCTTTCATTTGTCCTTTATAATACAACTGTGTACCTTATTTTTCCTTTCCATTTCCTTTCTTGATTGTTTGGGGATTAACCTAAGATTAATTCATAAATAATAACGAAAATATTAACAACAATTAGCGGAATTCTAAGAACCATTTGAATAGACTTAATTAAATTTATTATTCTTGATTTTGTTGAATTTGAATCTTCAACTTGAAATGATGATGGTTGGGATCCTAATCCAACTATAATGTTTGTTAGTGTTCTTTGATCTGGAAACAGGGGGGAGTTGGGTTGTTACTTACTTCTTTTGAGGAATCTATCTTCACTTAAGACTGCAATTGCATTTACTAATAATAAAATAGCTAAAGAAATTGTTAATATAATATTCAGTGAAGAGACACAAAACTTTATATTTTCATTAGTTCAGTGAGCGAATGAAAAGCAGACATACCATAGAATAATTTCCCAAGTCCAAACATGTTTGAATTAAGTCTATAAGGGATATGATGATGAAGGGGTTGTTGGTTGTTGGATTTGATGGTTTGATTGTTAAATTGATTTGACAACTGTTGTTATACTGATCTTTGAAAATTGAAATTATAGTATAGACGCGAAATTTATATAGTGTGGTTATGTAATCATGAATAATAAATAAGTACTACTAGAAGTAAAAGTAACTATGAACATGAATATATGAATTTAGTTTCTCTTAAAATCCTTGCTGCATACTTGACGTTCATAAGTAGATCATTTAATCTGATTGATTTAAGATTGTTTTTTGTTATTGATGGTTTCCCTTGAAGTCGACTACATAGCTACAATAGGTATATAGTATAATTTGATGCAAAAAATTTGTTTATTCAATATTTAAACTAACAATTCAGATGATACAGAATGGTCAAAATTGACATGAATCATACATGAATAAATAAGTCTTGAAATAAAGGTTTGAAGTTCCATATAAAGAATTTCATCATTTGATAGTAAATCCTCAATTACTTCAGTCAGTCTAGATACCTCAAAAACTATTTATGAAATCAGGTAACGGAGCTACCAAAATTTGCTATAGGTGAAAGTACCAAACAGTGTATTTAAGTATGTTATGAACATATGAACTTATTAACCAAAATGCTTAGAGACTCATGACGCATCGATTGCTCAATATATCTTGTTGAGTTTTCTAATAAAAATATTTAAAAGGAAGAAAAATTTCCAACGCGTTTGAAAAAATTAAAAAATCATGAATATATATGTTGAACGTAATTTGGTTATGTAATGAATTAGAAATATTATAAAGCGCCATCGATCATCACCTTTTGTAATAACACAATTAAATAAAGTATGTTTCTCTAAAGTATAAAGGTTAGCTGTATATGAGTTTACTTAAAGCTGATTAATTGTTACTTGATTTTATAAGCAGCTACTTTTTCATTTCAAGTTCAGTCCCCTAACAATATCTGGTCGTTCTAATCACACATCTTGATCGTCGAATCATCAGATATCATACAATTAAGTGCCTGAATTCAATACTAATATATATCAGTTCATGATGATACAATTGGAACTTGTAGAGTTGATCAAAAAGCTGAATATTATATAGAGATTATATACTACAATAAGTAGATCTTAGTACTTGCAAAAAGTTGTTTATTCAAATCAATAGCCTAATATCCAGATGATACAGAATGGTCAATTCAATGACAATGAATCATACATGAATAGATTAGTATTGATTTCATATTTGAAATATCAATCAAATATAACATGAAGATCTTGTTTAAGAATTCACATATTATGTTATATTTTGTTTATATTTGTTGACAGTAAATTTAAGAACTATTATCAGTAACCGTTAACCGTTATCACCTGAAGCGAACCTTCCTAGGATTGCGTGCTTATTTTACTATGATATATCCAATTTCCTATGGACCTAGTTAGTCCAATGTATTACATGTCTCAACGCAATGGAAAATTTGACAAAAGATCAAAAGTTAAAACACTATTGTTAAAACTATATGAAAGAGAAATGTTTTTGCTTGGAAATTTAATTTTTTATACACCTATATATGGTTCCCGACACACGTAAATTTATATCAAAAAGCTGTACGACTCACGAGTGATTCTACGACGTACGTACGTACTTAATTAAGAATCAAGGTACAAAAAATGTTTTAATATGTAAATATTTACAATATTATAATTATCAATTCTAAATACAATTCTTAATATGAATATAACTAGGAAAATCATATATGCAGTGGCCTTTATCATATTATAATATTCCCATTATATTCCCATTAATGTACAGCTTGTAAATCATATGATCATATATCCATTATAAATAAAAGTTTGTTCAAAGCTGTTGATCTATATACTTCAATTGACTACATACCTACAATAGGTGTAGTGGTATAGTATAATTTGATGCAAAAAATTTGTTTATTCAATATTTAAACTAACATTTCAGATGATCAGAATGGTCAATTGACATGAATCATACATGAATAAATCAGTATTGGAATAGGTTCTTTTATAGTTCCATATAAAGAGGTTCATCAATTGATAGTATATCCTCAATAATTAACTTCAGTTTTTTGAATGCTTTACACAACAATTTTTTGTTAAATCTGGAAGTGGAAATAACCTCAACATTGGTTTGGTGATGTATAGTATGAATACATTTCCTTAAACAATTACTTTCTAGGGCCACACGAGGCTTTGATGGCTTATTGAGTTCTCTAATAAAAATTTTAATTAAAAGGAAGAAAATATCCAACGCGTTTAAAAAATTATGATGAATATAAAAAAATTTGGTTTGATTATGTAATGGATTAGAAATATAAATTAAAGCGCCATATATAATCTATTTTATTTACATCATCCCATTGAAATTATAACACAATTAAGCTATAATTGTTTCTCTAAAAGATTAGTTATATAATACCAGTATATAAGTTTACTTAATTCTATTTGTTTTTTAGTTTTATAAGCTCTAGTACTTATAGCATTTCTTCAATTCCCGAACAATATCTGATCGTTCAAGTCACACATCTAGATAAATATACTAAATTTATATATAGATTAATTCATGATAATACAATTGGAAGTTGTAGAATTGATCAAAATCTAAATATTATATAGAGATATACTACAATAAGTAGATCATGAAGCTAGTTGAAAAAAAAATGTTTATTCAAATCAATAATTTAATATCCAGATGATACAGAATGGTCAATTTAATGACAGTGAATCATACATGAATAAATTAGTATTGATTTCATATCTAGTGAAATATTAATCAAATAACATGGAAATATTGTTTAAAAATTCACATATGTTATATTTTGTTTATCAACAACTAATTATAAAAGATCAAAAGGGTTCATAAACCAACTGTCTAGCACCATTAACGAGAAGCTAATTTTTTTTGTATGGGGCGTGCCCCTAAAATTGAAAAAAGTCGTGGCCGTAAAAAATGTAGATTTT